TCCCATGATTTTCAATTATTCTCGCTTGTCTTCTTCAAGATCTTCCCCGAGCCCATAGACATGATCCTTTCTTTCGGTGTCGCCTGTCAATTTTGTCCCACTGCCAGTAAGTGAGATACCCTCTTCATCGAACTCCTCTCCCATCTCTTCAGAGTATGCATATCTGCAAGTTAAAACGTATCAGTTGCAACTATTTTCTTCTTCCCCCCCCTCCCTTCATGGACTTTCATATCTACTAAGGCTTTAAGGTAAACTAGTCATCTTTAACTGAAACCCAATAGCAGCAAGTAAAGAGGCAGAAGCTGAATAAACAATTACGAGCCAGCATCAAAGAAAGTACCTAGTTGGATTACAGGATGGAGCCCAGAGCACACATATTACTACCAAAAGAAAGTATGCAAGCATATTCCAGAAAGCTGGAATGATCCAAGCAATTTGCCACAGCTCGCTTAGTGGGTCAGTTGCATTGAAGTATAACTGACAAAAATGAAGAGAAGAAGCTTTGTTCATCAGTTTCCTATGAATTAATGCATAAATGAGATACTGTTCACCAACATCTTCAATATGTGTCACAGAATTGCTAATCTGAAAATAGAAGTTATTCTGAAAACAGAAGCAGCAAAGGTATTACCTCGAAACCAATCCACGCTATAGAGAGTAGCACAGATGCTGCCAGGGCATTAGTAAATTTCCGGTAAAGCTCCAACTTAGCAATATTTCTCTTAATCTGAATGACAAAACTAAATGAATACATGGAAACACAAAAAGAACGGCTGGAAAGCGGCATGAAATAAGATACCAAAAAATGTCAATGAAAAGTAATTCAAAGACAAATTTCAAGTGAAAGAACTATTGCAAGTTCCATAACATGCAGTTCCTCCCACAGACAAGTAGACGGGTAGGCTTGAATCAGGACCTTGATGACAGGCTTCCTGATTCCGTTACATATTTAAGTTTTTTGAGATGTATGTTTCATTTATGAGGATGCCACTTCAAATATAAGTGTATTGTGGTTCATTCATCTATTTGTGCACATGCCCATGTGGAAGGAAGATTAAGAACATATTATTACCTGAAGTTTCTCTAAAGTTTTTGACAATGATGAGAATATCCACAGGATGAAGCACACATCCAGAAAAACAACAGGAAGCACCAAGAATAACTTGGCATTTCCAGAAAAGTCATTAATGTTTCCCAAATGCTCAACAAGTTCAAGTGCCTCCGTTGCAACAAAATAGACAAAACTAAGCAGAAGTACTCTTGAGGTTATGCCACCAAGAGTTGGCTTCATCACACCATAACCCATTGAGACCACCAAAAGAAGAACGCGAGACAGAGTCTTCTTAACAGATGCAAAAGTTACTGCCCATATTGTAATATCCATAGGTCTGCTTCCAGTGGAATTGAAATTAGCATATTCAAAGTATCGAATTGCCATTTCACACATTCCAAGTGCAATTACTACAGTGATGTGGTAGTGCAACTGTATTATAGCCTTCCAGAACTGAACAAACCTTAGAAACCAGACTAAGCCAAGCACAAGGTAAGCAAAAGACATGAACCCAAAGAATGTCATCAAAGGAGCCATCTTTCCAGGTAAATAACCATCTGGGTTCTTCCACACAGTCTTCCCTTTGATCAAAGTACCACTGAGTTGTGGATCGCAAAACATGAAATAAAGGTAGTACATTCCGGTGTTATTTATTTCAACAACTTCAGGATGCATTTTGACTTCTTCCTTATTCCCTTCAAAAAAGGTTCTGATGCGCTTAGGCCAGTCAGGGTTGTCTTGGTTTCTATGAATAATAACCTCTCCCAACTTGCAGGATGTCTCATCAGCAAGACTACGGTTGCAGCATATAACATCAGATTTTAAATATGAACCCCCAATCCTATCCCTGTCTTTCACTTCAAGAATAATTGCCTCCACCAATCCAGTGTTGGTCTGCATGTCATTCTGCCTACTAGCAGACTCTTTTGTCCTCACAAAGGTGACATCATCAAACCTGAAATCCCATCAGCATAAGTTACACTGGTTGCAATATTTATAACAAACATCTTCCCTACCATATAGCTCAAAAATAGTTTTTCCTGCATAAGGAACTCCAATCATATTCCAAAGTTAGGGTGCTCTAACTTGAGTAAGCAGAGGAGATTTCAGTTTTCAAACAGAAAGATGAACTTACAGTCAAGCTCTTCACTAAGAATACAAGTAAACTCACACATCAGAAAAAATTACTCAACACCTTTCATCCATGAATTTTTAGATGATAGAAACATGCCCCAAAACAAAACTTCATCATATTAAAAAAAAAGCGTCAAAGTTTCCGCACAAATGTAAAATAGAAAATCAAAACCATCAGTCAAATCCTTGAGAAGTATATTTGTCTACTCAAGTCTCGCTAAAATAACTAAAACATCAATTCTTCTAGATAAGAAGCTTTAGCGAAGAGATCAATAACACATATGATAAACGTAGGTGTGTCTAACAATGTATAATATACATAGGTTTATAGCTGGGCATGCATATATATAAATATGTTTGTGGTATCTATATGTGTATGTGGATTCTGCGTGCATTTCTTGTCAAGGTTTTAAGTTAATTTCTTAAACACAGCATAGAATTATTTTATAAAAAAAAAAAAAAAAAAAAAGAAAATCTGTATTCTCGTGAAATTCATCTGTAATTTATCCTTACTTCAACCGTATGAGAAATTTTATACTTAGCTCAGCCATGAGAGAGAATTAAAGTTCAATTACAAAGGAATTCAATTGTATTAAAATACTAAGTTTCAAATTCATCACTTTTTTTAAAATTTTGGCTATGTTGACATTTCAACCATTACTTCAAATTGGAACAAATGAGCTACTTTTGTGGAATTCACCAACAAATAAATACTTATTCCAACTACGGGTCTCCGGAAACATTTCAACTGACGTTGAAATAATAAATTTTATATTCAATGAAAACTTCCATCCTATTTCAGTTGAATTCCCATTCTCATTATTAAAATAAGCGTTCATTTTCAAATAAATTCTACGAAAACACTTCATTAGTTCCAAAGATACCCTAAGACTATCACCTCAATCAAAATCTTGCAGCAAATAAGTTAAGAAAAATCCCCAACACACAATCCTCATCAGCTAATTAGCATAGAAATTAACATCAACGCGAGCAAACGAGTACTTCCGTGAAAAAGAAAATAGCCAGGCATTTCCAACCCCAGATTTTCCCAGGCCGCCACCCCCGCCACCACGACCCAAAAGAAAAAAAAAAACACCAACAGAAATGAAAAGAGAAGAAAATAACCTAATAAAAGACTTTCCCTTGAAGGCGTTTTCAGGAGAATCATTGGAATAGTGACGCTTGGAAGCATAAAGACCTTCACTGCCGCCATGGAAGAAGTGAGCATTAGAGCGTGGGCTGAACGCTTCCCTCCTGTACTCGTGAATCGAACCATAAACGCCTGTAATTGTGTTGCATATCCACATAATCATCACCAAAAATGCTGCCCATTGTTTATCCGACCAAAACCCTCTCCGTCGCATATTCATTTTCTCGTTCGAATCTCGTCCTGGTCTCTCTCTGTTTCAATGAGTATAAGAAAATTGGTAAAGTCTGCCTCCTGCAGTTCCCAACAAGGAGTCAAGAACAGTCAGAATGACGAGAGTGACGTGGCACCCGCTTTTTGTGGGCCGAGTTTACTGAAACTATAATGCGGCTTAATTTTCGATAGCTTTGGGCTTCAATTTTTGTATTTTAAAAATAGTTTTTTAAGTAACTTTAAAATTAAAAAAAAATATATATTTTTAGTTTGAGATTAAAGTTAAAACTTATTAAAAAATAAGTTTAAAATAAAAACAAAAATTTATAATTTTTGCAAGATAATTTTACTTTTAACAAAAAAATTATATATTAAAATCTTAAAAGTTATTTTAAAAAATATATATATATATTCTATTTTTATAAAATAACAATAATTTTATCATAACTATTTTTATCTAACAGTAAATAATTTTTAATTAAAAATATTTTTAGAGGACATATATTTTTAATAAAATTTTATAACTCATAATAAAAATGACAACTATCTTAAATATTTACTTATTCTAAGTGAGGATCACTTTGTGAAAAATAGGAAAAAAGAAAAGAGTAAAATTAATCAATTTTTTAATTTAGTTTTTTTTTTTAATTCTAAAAATATAAAATTGAGATCAATTTAATTAAAGAATATTATATATAGAAATAAAATTTCAAAATTTATTTATTATAATTTAGTTTTGCATACTAAGTCAATTGATTCCATTAGTTTAGTTTTTAGTTTATAATAAAACTCTAATTGATTCGATTAGTTATTAATTAATATTAATTTTATTTTAATTTTAAAAACCTACAAACTGAGCTAACAAGAAAAACCTAATTATGCAATTCCATCTTTATTTACTCCTTACAACATGCTTACCTTAATTCAAATAGTTTTGAATAAACAAATGAAAAATCTTTTTTTTTTTTTCCTTTTCTTGAAAGGTATTCAATTGTTATATTTTTAAAACAGAATTATTATTTGACAAAAAGAAAATATACCAATATGGTTTATACTCATCAACAATTTAGTCTACTAAATAATACATTTATGTTATACTTAAAATTTATGAGTTTATATATTATTAAGAAAATAAGATTTGTTACTTTCTAAATTCATTATAAATTAGTGGTAATTGATCTTTAATATGTGATTTAGTAAAATTGAGAACTTAATTTACTTATATGTTAGCTAAGATGTAGTGACCAAACAAATTTAGTACAATAAGTTTATTATGTTTCATGATACAAAAAAAAAAAAAATCCTCAATTGGATAAATAAAATGAATTCAAAATTGAATATAATTTTTTTTTA